TGATGGGGATCACGGAATTGCTCTGCATGCACTGCAGGGGAATCGGGCCACATCTGTCATCTAGGGGGAAGTCTCATGGTTTTTCTCGAGTTGCGGCGGGGACCTTTGCTATGTTATCGATTTAAGGCGGGGATGGCCCTTCAAAACACCTGTTTATTCAGTGAGGTCGGGACTCCTGTCTAGTAACGAGGGACAACTCAGGAATCTCTTCGAGGCTTGGCAGGCAACAAGGAACACTTCTCGAGGTGAGGCAGGGCACCCAAGGACCCTTTCCAGTAGCCACAGGGATTTTGGGATTCCTATCAATATTCAAGAGGAGTCAGGCATCGTCACCTTTTGAAGCAGTCAACTCTGCGTGCCTCTCGAGGTGTCAACGGGATGTGAGGCATTCCGTCAAAAGGAGGCAGGTACCTAGGGCTTTCTCTAAGGTCTCCACAGGGGATTCAGACATCCCTTCATGTTGTGAGATGAAAGACGAGCCTGTATTCAAGCCACTGCAAGGAAAGCCCTTCTCCTTTCTAGTTAGGGCTTCTAGCTGTATATTCCACTTGAGGCAGCAAACTCGGGGTCCCTCTGACATACCTAATCCTGAGAGAAGCCTCCCCTTGAGGTGCTTCTGTAAAGTTGGCATACGTCTTGAGCTTAAGCCAGGGAATCAGCTCTCATCTCGAGACGATTTCGGGTACACGGAGCATTCCTCGAGTTGCTGTGATGACGTTAGTGTTCCTCTAGACTTGAGACAGTGTTCTCGGGGCATCTCTGGAGTTTCCTGAAGGAAGTCAAGCCACTGGACGTATTTAATGGGGAACGGGGGATGGCTCTGGAGTCCATGCAGGGGAATCGGGCTTCATCTCGAGTTGACTTGAGGCACATGGGGCTGCTTTGCGATGCTGGGTTGACCTCAGGGTTCGTCTAGACTTGTGACAGTGTTCTTCGGGACTGTGTCGAGATCCATTAAGCAAGTCAGAGCTTCTGACTTGTTTGATGGGGATCCCGGAATTGCTCTGCATGCACTGCAGGAGAATCGGGCCTCATCTCGCATCTAGGGGGAAGTCTCATGGTTTTTCTCGAGTTGCGGCGGGGACCTGGGGTATGTTCTCGAGTTAGGGCGGGGATGGCCCTTCAAAACACGTGTTTATTCAGTGACGTCAGGACTCCTGTCTAGTAAAGAGGGACACCTCAGGAATCTCTTCGAGGTTTGGCACGGCACAAGAGACGCCTCTCGGGGAGAGGCAGGGCACCCAAGGACCCCTTCAAGTAGCCACAGTGATTTTGGGATTAATATCAATATTCAAGAGGAGTCAGGCATCGTCACCTTTTGAAGCAGTGAACTCCGCGTGCCTGTGGAAGTGTCAACGGGATGTGAGGCTTTAGGTCAAAATGAGGCAGGGACCTCGGGCTTTCTCTAAGGACTCCACAGGGGATTCAGACATCCCTTCATGTTGTGAGATGAAAGACGAGCCTGTATTCAACTCAATGCAAGGAAACCCGGCCTCATTTCAAGTTAGGGCTTCTCGCTGTATATTCCACTTGAGGCAGCAAACTCGGGGTCCCTCCCACATACCTATTGCTGAGAGAAGCCTCCCCTTGAGGTGCTTCTGGAAAGTTGGCATACATCTTGAGCCTAAGCCAGGAAATCAGCTCTCATCTCGAGACGATTTGGGGTACACGGAGCATTCCTCGAGTTGCTGTGCTGAAGCTGGTCTTCCTATAGACTTGGGACAGTGATCCCAGGGCATCTCTGAAGTTTCCTGAAGGAAGTCAAGCCACTGGTCGTGTTTAATGGGGAATGGGGGTTGGCTCTGGAGTCAATGCAGGGGTATCAGGCCTCATCTCGAATTGATTTTGGGCACATGGAGCTGCTTTGCGTTCCTGGGGTGACCTCAGGGTACCTCTACACTTGTGACAGTGTTCTTGGTGACTCTCTCGAGATCTGTTAAGCAAGTCGAAGCTCCTGACTTGTTTGATGGCGATCATGGAATTGCTCTGCATGCACTGCAGGGGAATCGGGCCATACCTCACATCTAGGGAGAAGTCTCATGGTTTTTCTCGAGTTGCGGCGGGGATCTGGGGTATGTTCTCGAGTTACGGCGGGGAAGGCCCTTCAAAACACGTGTTTATTCAGTGACGTCAGGACTCCAGTCTATTAACGAGGGACACCTCAGGAATCTGTTCGAGGCTTGGCAGGCCACAAGGGACACTTATCGAGGTGAGTCAGGGCACCCAAAGACCCTTTCCATTAGCCACAGGGATTTTGGGATTCCTATCAATATTCAAGAGGAGTCAGGCATCGTCACCTTTTGAAGCAGTGAACTCCGCGTGCCTGTCGAAGTGTCAATGGGATATGAGGCATTCCGTCAAAAGGAGGCAGGTACCTAGGGCTTTCTCTAAGGTCTCCACAGGGGATTCAGACATCCCTTCATGTTGTGAGATGAAAGACGAGCCTGTATTCAAGCCACTGCAAAGAAACCCCGCCTCCTTTCTAGTTAGGGCTTCTAGCTGTATATTCCACTTGAGGCAGCAAACTCGGGGTCCCTACCACATACCTATTGCTTAAAGAATCCTCCCCTTGACGTGCTTCTGGAAAGTTGGCATACGTCTTGAGCCTATGCCAGGGAATCAGCTCTCATCTCGAGACGATTTAGGGTACTCGGAGCATTCCTCGAGTTCCTGTGCTGAAGTTGGTGTTCCTCTAGACTTGGGACAGTGTTCTCGGGGCATCTCTGGAGTTGCCTGAAGGAAGTCAAGCCACTGGTCGTGTTTAATGCGGAATGGCGGATGGCTCTGGAGTCAACGCAGGGGAATCGGGCCTCATCTCGAGTTGATTTGGGGCACATGGAGCTGCTTTGCGTTGCAGGGTTGACCTCAAGGTCCGTCTAGACTTGAGACAGTGTTCTTGGGGACTGTCTCGAGATCCATTAAGCAAGTCGAAGCTCCTGACTTCTTTGATGGGGATCACGGAATTGCTCTGCGTGCACTGCAGGGGAATCGGGCCTCATCTCACATCTAGGGGGAAGTCTCATGGTTTTCCTCGATTTGCAGCGGGGACCTGCAGTATGTTCTCGAGTTACGGTGGGGATTGCCCTTCAAAACTCGTATTTATTCAGTGACGTCACGACTCCTGTCTAGTAACGACGGACATCTCAGTAATCTCTTTGAATACTGGCAGGGCACGAGGGACACTTCTCGAGGTGACGCAGTGCACCCAAGGACCCTTTCCAGTAGCCACAGAGATTTTGGGATTTCTACCAATATTCACGATGAGTCAGGCTACGTTACCTTTTGAAGCAGTGAACTCCGCGTGCCTCTCGAGGTGTCAACGTGATGTGAGGCATTCCGTCATAATGAGGCAGGGACCTAGGCCTTTCTCTAAGGTCTGCACAGGGGATTGAGACATCCCTTCATGTGGGGAGATGCAAGACTTGCTGTATTCAAGCCACTGCAAGGAAACCCGGCCTCCTTTCAAGTTAGGGCTTCTCGCTGTATATCGCACTTGAGGCAGCAAACTCGGGGTCCCTACCACATACTTATTGCTTAAAGAAGCCTCCCCTTGACGTGCTTCAGGAAAGTTGGCATACGTCTTGAGCCTAAGCCAGGGAATCAGCTCTCATCTTGAGACGATTGGGGTACATGGAGCATTCCTCGAGTTGCTGTGCTGAAATTGGTGTTCCTCTAGACTTGGAACAGTGCTTTCGGGGCATCTCTAGAGGTACCTGAAGGAAGTCAAGCCACTGGTCGTGTTGAATGTGGAACGGCGGATGGCTCTGGAGTCAATGCAGTGGAATCGGGCCTCACCTCGAGTTGATTTGTGGCACATGGAGCTACTTTGCGTTGCTGTGGTAACCTCAGGGTCCGTCTAGACTTGTGACAGTGTTCTTGGGAACTGTCTCGAGATCCATTAAGCAAGTCGAAGCTTCTGACTTGTTTGATGGGGATCACGGAATTGCTCTGCATGCCCTGCAGGTGAATCGGGCCTCGTCTCGCATCGAGGGGAAAGTCTCATGATTTTTCTCGAGTTGCGGCGGGGACCTGTGGTACGTTATCGAGTTATTGGGGGATGGCCCTTCAAAACACGTGTTTATTCAGTGACGTCAGGACTCCTATCTAGTAACGAGGGACACCTCAGGAATCTCTTCGAGGATGGCAGGCCACAAGGGACACTTTTCGAGGTAAGTCAGGCCACCCAAGGACCCTTTCCAGTAGCCACAGGGATTTTTGGATTCCTATCAATATTCAAGAGGAGTCAGGCATCGTCACCTTTGAAGCAGTGAACTCTGCGTGCCTCCCGAGGTGTCAACTTGATGTGAGGCATTCCGTCATAATGAGGCAGGGACCTAGGGCTATCTGTAAGGTCTCCGCAGGGGATTCAGACATCCCTTCATGTTGGGAGATGAAAGACGAGCCTGTATTCAAGCGACTGCAAGGAAACCCGGCCTCCTTTCAAGTTAGGGCTTCTCGCTGTATATCCCACTTGTGGCAGCAAACTCGGGGTCCCTACCACATACCTATTGCTTAAAGAAGCCTCCCCTTGAGATGCTTCTGGAAAGTTGGCATACGTCTTGAGCCTAAACCAGGGAATCAGCTCTCATCTCGAGTCGATTTGGGGTACATGGAGCATTCCTCAAGTTGCTGTGCTGAAGATGGTGTTCCTCTAGACTTGGGACAGTGTTCTCGGGGCATCTCTGGAGTTGCCTAAAGGAAGTCAAGCCACTGGTCTTGTTTAATGAGGAATGGGGGAAGGCTCTGGGGTCAAGGCAGGGGAATCGGGCCTCATCTCCAGTTGATTTGTGGCACATGGAGCTGCTTTGCGTTGCAGGGGTGACCTCAGGGTCCGTCTAGACTTGTGACAGTGTTCTTGGGCACTCTCTCGAGATCCATTAAGCAAGTCGAAGCTCCGGACTTGATTGGTGGGGATCACGGAATTGCTCTGCGTGCACTGCAGGGGAATCGGACCTCATCTCACATCTAGGGGGAAGTCTCATGTTTTTTTTCGATTTGAGGCGGGGACCTGCGGTATGTTCTCGAGTTACGGCGGGGATTGCCCTTCAAAACTCGTGTTTATTCAGTGACGTCAGGACTCCTGTCTAGTAATGAGGGACACCTCAGTAATCTCTTCGAGGACTGGCTGGGCACGAGGGACGCTTCTCGAGGTGAGCCAGTGTACCCAAGGACCTTTTCCAGGAGCCACAGAGATTTTGGGATTTCTACCAATATTCACGATGAGTCAGGCTATGTTACCTTTTGAAGCAGTGAACTCCACGTGCCTCTCGAGGTGTCAATGGAATGTGAGGCATTCCGTCATAATGAGGCAGGTACCTAGGGCTTTCTCTAAGGTCTCCCCAGGGGATTCAGACATCCCTTCATGTTGGGAGATGAAAGACGAGCTGTATTCAAGCCACTTCAAGGAAACCCGGCCTCCTTTCAAGTTAGGGCTTCTCGCTGTATATCCCACATGGGGCAGCAAACTCGGCGTCCCTACCACATAGCTTTTGCTTAAAGAAGCCTCCCCTTGAGGTGCTTCTGGAAAGTTGGCATACGTCTTTACCCAAAGCCACGGAATCAGCTCTCAACTCTAGATGATTTGGGGTACACGGAGCATTCCTCGAGTTGCTGTGCTGAAGTTGATGTTCCTCTAGTCTTGTTACAGTGTTCTCGGGGCATCTCTGGAGGTGCCTGAAGGAAGTCAAGCCACTGGTCGTGTTGAATGGGGAATGGCGGTTGGCTCTGGAGTCAATGCAGTGGAATCGGGCCTCACCTCGAGATGATTTGTGGCACATGGATCTACTTTGCGTTGCTGTGGTGACCTCAGGGTCCATCTAGACTTGTGACAGTGTTCTTGGGGACTCTCTCGAAATCCATTAAAGAATTCGAATCTCCAGACTTGTTTGATGGGGATCACGGAATTGCTCTGCATGCACTGCAGGGGAATCGAGCCTCATCTCGCATCTATGGGGAAGTCTCATGGTTTTTCTCGAGTTGCAGCGGGGATATGCGGTATGTTCTCGAGTTCGGGCGGGGATGGCCCTTCAAATCACATGTTTATTCAGTGACGTCAGGACTCCTTTCTAGAAACGTGGGACAACTCAGGAATCTCTTCGAGGCTTGGCAGGGCACAAGGGACGCTTCTCGAGGTGAGGAAGGGATCTCAAGGACCCTTTCCAATAGCCACAGGGATTTTTGGATTCCTATCAATATTCAAGAGGAGACAGGCATCATCACCTTTTGAAGCAGTGAACTCTGCGTGCCTCCCGAGGTGTCAACTTGATGTGAGGCATTCCGTCATAATGAGGCAGGGACCTAGGGCTATCTGTAAGTTCTCCACAGGGATTCAGACATCCCTTCATGTTGGGAGATGAAAGACGAGCCTGTATTCAAGCCACTGCAAGGAAACCCGGCCTCCTTTGAAGTTAGGGCTTCTCGCTGTATATCCCAGTTGAGGCAGCAAACTCGGGACCCGTACCACATATCTATTGCTTAAAGAAGCCTCCCCTTGAGGTGCGTCTGGAAAGTTGGCATACGTCTTGAGCCTAAGCCAGGGAATCAGTTCTCATCTCGAGACGATTTGGGGTACATGGAGCATTCCTCGAGTTGCTGTGCTGAAGATGGTGTTCCTCTAGACTTGGGACAGTGTTCTCGGGGCATCTCTGGAGTTGCCTGAAGGAAGTCAAGCCACTGGTCGTGTTTAATGGAAAACGGGGGAAGGCTCTGGGGTCAATGCAGTGGAATCGGGCCTCACCTCGACTTGATTTGTGGCACATGGATCTACTTTGCGTTGCTGTGGTAACCTCAGGGTCCATCTAGACTTGTGACAGTGTTCTTGGGGACTCTCTCGAAATCCATTAAGGAATTCGAATCTCCAGACTTGTTTGATGGGGTTCATGGAATTGCTCTGCATGCACTGCAGGGGAATCGAGCCTCATCTCGCATATCTGGGGAAGTCTCATGGTTTTTCTCGAGTTGCGGCGGGGATATGCGGTATGTTCTCGAGTGAGGGCGGGGATGGCCCTTCAAATCACATGTTTATTCAATGACGTCAGGACTCCTTTCTAGTAACGTGGGATAACTCAGGAATCTCTTCGAGGCTTGGCAGGGCACAAGGGACTCTTCTCGAGGTGAGGAAGGGCTCCCAAGGACACTTTCCAGTAGCCACAGGGATTTTGGGATTCCTATCAATATTCAAGAGGAGTCATGCATCGTCACCTTTTGAAGCAGTGAACTCTGCGTGCCTCCCGAGGTGTCAACTTGATGTGAGGCATTCCGTCATAATGAGGCAGTGACCTAGGGCTATCTGTAAGGTCTCCACAGGGGATTCAGACATCCCTTCATGTTGGGAGATGAAAGACGAGCCTGTATTCAAGCGACTGCAAGGAAACCCGGCCTCTTTTCAAGTTAGGGATTCTCGCTGTATATCCCACTTGAGGCAGCAAACTCGGGGTCCCTACCACATACCTATTGCTTAAAGAAGCCTCCCATTGAGGGGCTTCTGGAAAGTTGGCATACGTCTTGATCCTAAGCCAGGGAATCAGCTCTCATCTCGAGACGATTTGGGGAACATGGAGCATTCATCGAGTTGCTGTGCTAAAGTTGGTGTTCCTCTAGACTTGGGACAGTGTTCTCGGGGCATCTCTGGAGTTGCCTGAAGGAAGTCAAGCCACTGGTCGTGTTTAATGGGGAACAGCGGATGGCTCTGGAGTCAACGCAGGGGAATCGGGCCTCATCTCGAGTTGATTTGGGGCACATGGAGCTGCTTTGCGTTGCAGGGGTGAACTCAGGTTGCGTCTAGACTTGTGACAGTGTTCTTGGGGACTGTCTCGAGATCCATTAAGCAAGTCGAAGCTCCTGACCTGTTTGATGGGGATCACGGAATTGCTCTGCGTACACTGCAGGGGAATCGGGCCTCATCTCACATCTAGGGGGAAGTCTCATGGTTTTCCTCGATTTGCAGCGGGGACCTGCAGTATGTTCTCGAGTTACGGCGGGGATTGCCCTTCAAAACTCGTGTTTATTCAGTGACGTCAGGACTCCTGTCTAATAACGAGGGATACCTCAGTAATCTCTTTGAGTACTGGCAGGGCACGAGGGACACTTCTCGAGGTGATGCAGTGCACCCAAGGACCCTTTCCAGTAGCTACAGATATTTTGGGATTTCTACCAATATTCACTATGAGTCAGGCTACGTTACCTTTTGAAGCAGTGAACTCCGCGTGCCTCTCGAGGTGTCAACAGGATGTGAGGCATTCCGTCATAATGAGGCAGGGACCTAGGACTATCTGTAAGGTCTCCGCAGGGGATTCAGACATCCCTTCCTGTTGGGAGATGCAAGACGAGCTGTATTCAAGCCACTTCAAGGAAACCCGGCCTCCTTTCAAGTTAGGGCTTCTCCCGGTATATCCCACTTGAGGCAGCAAACTCGGGGTCCCTACCACATACTTATTGCTTAAAGAAGCCTCCCCTTGAGGTGCTTCTGGAAAGTTGGCATACGTCTTGAGCCTAAGCCAGGGAATCAGCTCTCATCTCGAGACGATTTGGGGTACATGGAGAATTCCTCGAGTTGCTGTGCTGAAGTTGGTGTTCCTCTAGACTTGGGACAGTGTTCTCGGGGCATCTCTGGAGTTGCCTGAAGGAAGTCAAGCCACTGGTCGTGTTTAATGGGGAACGGCGGATGGCTCTGGAGTCAACGCAGGGGAATCAGGCCTCACCTCGAGTTGATTTATGGCACATGGAGCTACTTTGCGTTGCTCTGGTAACCTCAGGGTCCGTCTAGACTTGTGACAGTGTTCTTGGGGACTGTCTCGAGATCCGTTAAGCAAGTCGAAGCTTCTGACTTGTTTGATGGGGATCACGGAATTGCTCTGCATGCCCTGCAGGGGAATCGGGCCTCATCTCACAACTAGGGGGTAGTCTCATGGTTTTTCTCGAGTTGCAGCGGGGACCTGTAGTAGGTTATCAAGTTACGGGGGGATGGCCCTTCAAAACACGTGTTTATTCAGTGACGTAAGGACTCCTATCTAGTAACGAGGGACACCTCAGGAATCTCTTCGAGCCTTGGCAGGCCACAGGACCCTTTTCGAGGTGAGTCAGGCCACCCAAGGACCCTTTCCAGTAGCCACAGGTATTTTGGGATTCCTATCAATATTCAAGAGTAGTCAGGCATCCTCACCTTTTGAAGCTGTGAACTCTGCGTGCCACTCGAGGTGTAAATGGGATGTGAGGCTTTCCGTCAAAATGAGGCAGGGACCTAGGGCTTTCTGTAAGGTCTCCACAGGGGTTCAGAAATCCCTTCATGTTGGGAGATGAAAGATGAGCCTGTATTCAAGCCACTGCAAGGAAACCCGGCCTCCTTTCAAGTTAGGGCTTCTCGCTGTATATTCCACTTGAGTCAGCAAACTCGGGGTCCCTCCCACATACATATTGCTGAGAGAAGCCTCCCCTTGAGGTGCTTCCGGAAAGTTGGCATACGTCTTGACCCAAAGCCATGGAATCAGCTCTCATCTTGAGACGATTTGGGTTACACAGAGCATTCCTCGAGTTGCTGTGCTGAAGTTGGTGTTCCTCTAGACTTGGGACAGTGTTCTCGGGGCATCTCTGGAGTTGCCTAAAGGAAGTCAAGACACTGGTCTTTTATAATGAGGAACGGGGGAAGGCTCTGGGGTCAACCCAGGGGAATCGGGCCTCATCTCGAGTTGATTTGGGGCACATGGAGCGGCTCTGCGTTGCAGGGGTGACCTCAGTGTCCGTCTAGAATTGTGACAGTGTTCTTGGGGACTCTCTCGAGATCCATTAAGCAAGTCTAAGCTCGTGACTCGATTGATGGGGATCACGGAATTGCTCTGCCTGCACTGCAGGGGAATCGGGCCTCATCTCACATCTAGGGGGAAGTCTCATGGTTTTTTTCGATTTGTGGCGGGGACCTGCGGTATGTTCTCGAGTTACGGCGGGGATTGCCCTTCAAAACTCGTGTTTATTCAGTGACATCAGGACTCCTGTCTAGTAACGAGGGACACCTCAGTAAACTCTTTGAGGACTGGCAGGGCACGAGGGACGCTTCTCGAGGTGAGCAGTGCACCCAAGGGCCTTTCCCAGTAGCCACAGAGATTTTGGGATTTCTACCAATATTCACGATGAGTCAGGCTACGTTACCTTTTGAAGCAGTGAACTCTGCGTGCCTCTCGAGGTGTCAATGGAATGTGAGGCATTCCGTCATAATGAGGCAGGTACCTAGGGCTTTCTCTAAGGTCTCCACAGGGGATTCAGACATCCCTTCATGTTGGGAGATGAAAGAAGAGCTGTATTCAAGCCAATTCAAGGAAACCCGGCCTCCTTTCAAGTTAGGGCTTCTCGCTGTATATCCCACTTGAGGCAGCAAACTCGGGGTCCCTACCACATACCTTTTGCTTAAAGAAGCCTCCCCTTGAGGTGCTTCTGGAAAGTTGGCATACGTCTTGAGCCTAAGCCATGGAATCAGCTCTCATCTCGAGACTATTTTGGATACATGGAGCATTCCTCGAGTTGCTGTGCTGAAGTTGGTGTTCCTCTAGACTTGGGACAGTGTTCCCGGGATATCTCTGGAGTTGCCTGAAGGGAGTCAAGCCACTGGTCGTGTTGAATGGGGAACGGGGGATAGCTCTGGAGTCAATGCAGTGGAATCGGGCCTCACCTCAAGTTGATTTGTGGCACATGGAGCTACTTTTCGTTGCTGTTGTAACCTCAGGGTCCATCTAAACTTGTGACAGTGTTCTTGGGGACTCTGTCGAAATCCATTAAGGAATTCGAATCTCCAGACTTGTTTGATGGGGATCACGGAATTGCTCTGCATGCATTGCAGGAGAATCGAGCCTCATCTCGCATCTATGGGGAAGTCTCATGGTTTTTCTCGAGTTGCAGCGGGGATATGCGGTATGTTCTCGAGTTAGGGCGGGGATGACCCTTCAAATCACATGTTGATTCAGTGACGTCAGGACTCCTGTCTAGTAACGTGGGACAACTCAGGAATCTCTTTGAGGCTTGGCAGGGCACAAGGTACGCTTCTCCAGGTGAGGTAGTGCTCCCAAGGACCCTTTCCAGTAGGCACAGGTATTTTGGATTCCTATCAATATTCAAGAGGAGTCAGGCATCGTCACATTTTGTAGCAGTGAACTCTGCGTGCCTCCCGAGGTGTCAACTTGATGTGAGGCATTCCATCATAATGAGGCAGGGACCTAGGGCTATCTGTAAGGTCTCTGCAGGGGATTAAGACATCCCTTCATGTTGGGAGATGAAAGACGAGCCTGTATTCAAGCCACTGCAAGGAAACCCGGCCTCCTTTCAAGTTAGGGCTTCTCGCTGTATATCCGACTTGAGGCAGCAAAATCGGGGTCCTTACCACATACCTATTGCTTAAAGAAGCCTCCCCTTGAGGTGCTTCTGGAAAGTTGGCATACTTCTTGAGCCTAAGCAAGGGAATCAGCTCTCATCTCGAGACGATTTGGGGTACATGGAGCATTCCTCGAGTTGCTGTGCTGAAGTTGGTGTTCCTCTAGACTTGGGACAGTGTTCTCGGGGCATCTCTGGAGTTGCCTGAAGGAAGTCAAGCCACTGGTCATGTTTAATGGGGAACGGCGGATGGCTCTGCAGTCAACGCAGGGGAATCAGGCCTCATCTCGAGTGGATTTGGGGCACATGGAGCTGCTTTGCGTTGCAGGGGTGACCTCAGGTTGCATCTAGACTTGTGACAGTGTTCTTGGGGACTGTCTCGAGATCCATTAAGCAAGTCGAAGCTCCTGACTTGTTTGATGGGGATCACGGAATTGCTCTGCGTGCACTGCAGGGGAATCGGGCCTCATCTCACATCTAGGGGGAAGTCTCATGATTTTCCTCGATTTGCAGCGGGGACCTGCAATATGTTCTAGAGTTACGGTGGGGATTGCCCTTCAAAACACGTATTTATTCAGTGACGTCAGGACTCCTGTCTAGTAAAGAGGGACATCTCAGTAATCTCTTTGAGTACTGGCAGGGCACGAGGGACACTTCTCGAGGTGACGCAGTGCACCCAATGACCCTTTCCAGTAGCCATAATGATTTTGGGATTTCTACCAATATTCACGATGAGTCAGGCTACGTTACGTTTTGAAGCAGTGAACTCCGCGTGCCTCTCGAGGTGTCAACGGGATCTGAGGCATTCCGTCATAATGAGGCAGGGACCTAGGGCTTACTCTAAGGTCTCCACAGGGGATTCAGACATCCCTTCATGTTGGGAGATGCAAGACGAGCAGTATTCAAGCCACTGCAAGGAAACGCCGCCTCCTTTAAGTTAGGGCTTCTCGCTGTATAATCCACTTGAGGCAGCAAACTCGGGGTCCCTACCACATACTTATTGCTTAAAGAAGCCTCCCCTTGAGGTGCTTCTGGAAAGTTGGCATACGTCTTGAGCCTAAGCCAGGGAATCAGCTCTCATCTCGAGACGATTTGGGGTACACGGAGCATTCCTCGAGTTGCTGTGCTGAAGTTGGTGTTCCTCTAGACTTGGGACAGTGTTCTCGGGGCATCTCTGGAGTTGCCTGAAGGAAGTCAAGCCACTGGTCATGTTTAATGGGGAACGGCGGATGGCTCTGGAGTCAACTCAGGGGAATCGGGCCTCATCTCGAGTTGATTTGGGGCACATGGAGCTGCTTTGCGTTGCTGGGGTGACCTCAGGTTGCGTCTAGACTTGTGACAGTGTTCTTGGGGACTGTCTCGAGATCCATTAAGCAAGTCGAAGCTCCTGACTTGTTTGATGGGGATCACGGAATTGCTCTGCGTGCACTGCAGGGAATCGGGCCTCATCTCACATCTAGGGGGAAGTCTCAAGGTTTTCCTCGATTTGCAGCGGGGACCTGCAATATGTTCTCGAGTTACGGTGGGGATTGCCCTTCAAAACTCGTATTTATTCAGTGACGTCAGGACTCCTGTCTAGTAATGAGGGACATCTCAGTAATCTCTTTGAGTACTGGCAGGGCACGAGGGACACTTCTCGAGGTGACGCAGTGCACCCAAGGACCCTTTCCAGTAGCCACAGAGATTTTGGGATTTCTACCAATATTCACGATGAGTCAGGCTACGTTACCTTTTGAAGCAGTGAACTCCGCGTGCCTCTCGAGGTGTCAACGGGATCTGAGGCATTCCGTCATAATGAGGCAGGGACCTAGGGCTTACTCTAAGGTCTCCACAGGGGATTCAGACATCCCTTCATGTTGGGAGATGCAAGACGAGCAGTATTCAAGCCACTGCAATTAAACGCCGCCTCCTTTAAGTTAGGGCTTCTCGCTGTATAATCCACTTGAGGCAGCAACTCGGGGTCCCTACCACATACTTATTGCTTAAAGAAGCCTCCCCTTGAGGTCCTTCTGGAAAGTTGGCATACGTCTTGAGCCTAAGCTAGGGAATCAGCTCTCATCTCGAGACGATTTGGGGTACATGGAGCATTCCTCGAGTTGCTGTGCTGAAGTTAGTGTTCCTCTAGACTTGGGACAGTGTTCTCGGGGCATCTCTGGAGGTGCCTGAAGGAAGTCAAGCCACTGGTCGTTTTGAATGGGGAACGGCGGATGGCTCTGGAGTCAATGCAGTGGAATCAGGCCTCACCTCGAATTGATTTGTGGCACATGGAGCTAGTTTGCGTTGCTGTAGTAACCTCAGGGTCCGTCTAGACTTGTGACAGTGTTCTTGGGGACTGTCTCGAGATCCATTAAGCAAGTCGAAGCTTCTGACTTGTTTGATGGGGATCACGAAATTGCTCTGCATGCCCTGCAGGGGAATCGGGCCTCATCTCACATCTAGGGGGAAGTCTCATGGTTTTCCTCGAGTTGCGGCGGGGACCTGTGGTATGTTATCGAGTTACAGGGGGATGGCCCTTCAAAACATGTGTTTATTCAGTGATGTAAGGACTCCTATCTAGTAACGAGGGACACTTCAGGAAACTCTTTGAGGCTTGGCAGGCCACAAGGGACACTTTTCGAGGTGAGTCAGGCCACCCAAGGACCCTTTCCAGTAGCCACATGGATTTTGGGATTCCTATCAATATTCAAGAGTAGTCAGGCATCGTCACCTTTTGAAGCAGTGAACTCTGCGTGCCTCTCGAGGTGTCAACGGGATGTGAGGCTTTCCGTCAAATGAGGCAGGGACCTAGGGCTTTCTCTAAGGTCTCCACAGGGGATTCAGACATCCCTTCATGTTGAGAGATGAAAGACGAGCCTGTATTCAAGCCACTGCAAGGAAAGCCCTTCTCCTTTCTAGTTAGGGCTTCTAGCTGTATATTCCACTTGAGGCAGCAAACTCGGGGTCCCTCTGACATACCTAATCCTGAGAGAAGCCTCCCCTTGAGGTGCTTCTGTAAAGTTGGCATACGTCTTGTGCTTAAGCCAGGGAATCAGCTCTCATCTCGAGACGATTTCGGGTACACGGAGCATTCCTCGAGTTGCTGTGATGAAGTTAGTGTTCCTCTAGACTTGGGACAGTGTTCTCGGGGCATCTCTGGAGTTTCCTGAAGGAAGTCAAGCCACTGGACGTGTTTAATGGGGAACGGGGGATGGCTCTGGAGTCCATGTAGGGGAATCGGGCTTCATCTCGAGTTGACTTGAGGCACATGGGGCTGCTTTGCGATGCTGGGTTGACCTCAGGGTTCGTCTAGACTTGTGACAGTGTTCTTCGGGACTGTGTCGAGATCCATTAAGCAAGTCAGAGCTTCTGACTTGTTTGATGGGGATCCCGGAATTGCTCTGCATGCACTGCAGGAGAATCGGGCCTCATCTCACATCTAGGGGGAAGTCTCATGGTTTTTCTCCAGTTGCGGCGGGGACCTGGGGTATGTTCTCGAGTTAGGGCGGGGATGGCCCTTCAAAACACGTGTTTATTCAGTGACGTCAGGACTCCTGTCTAGTAAAGAGGGACACCTCAGGAATCTCTTCGAGGTTTGGCACGGCACAAGAGACGCCTCTCGGGGAGAGGCAGGGCACCCAAGGACCCCTTCAAGTAGCCACAGTGATTTTGGGATTAATATCAATATTCAAGAGGAGTCAGGCATCGTCACCTTTTGAAGCAGT